GCCTCGGCCGTATCTGGTGCCCCCTCTCCTTGCCCCCGGGTCTCGGCCGTCTCTGGCGCCCCCTTTTCAGGGCGAGCACTTTGCTCCAGTCTTACCCTGCAGCTCCTGCCTCGCCTGCGCTTTTTCTTCCTTTCTTTTTTTTTTTTTTTAATAGATTTTCTCTATAGGGCGCTTGCGCTCGTCAGAAAGAGAGAGAGAGAGACAGAAAGCGAGAAATCAGCCCCCGGGGGGATGGCCACACAGCAATCCCTTCTCCTCCATTCTCCTCTTGGGATCTTGGGCACGCACGCACACGTGCCCGGTGTGAGTTTAAACCACGGTGTCTGGGACTCGAACTGCGGTCGTCCACATAGGAGTCCAGCGACAGCCATTACTCCAGCTGCTGGTCCCAGCCAGCTGTCTTGTGTGCTGTCACAGTGCTTAGCGTGATCGTGGTGCTCAGGCGGCTCCCTCACCGCTCTGCTCACCCCCTAATTGACTCATTTTTAGGCAGATTTTCCTAGTGAGGTACTTAAGGCGACTCCGGACGGCACCAGGCTGAGACCAGCTGCGTAGCTCTTGCTGTTGACTGAGCACCCTGCGTCTCACCCCAGGTCCTGGGTCTGATGATCACCCGCTGAGCCCTCTGACAAAGTGGCCGGGTGCTCCCATGGTTACGCTCACTGATACGCGCAGCCCCAGGGTCTGTGCACTCTGCCTATGACTTCCGCCTCTGAGTCCAAGGAAGCTGCTTCTCTGCTGCCATTGTATCTGCATCCCAGCTGGCAAGAAGGGGCAGAGGGCAAAGAGAACAAGTGTAGTGAATTCCTCTTAAGAGAACAGCCCTCTGAAGGGGCGCACACCACTCGACACTGACATCCGATTTGACTATTCCTAGCTGCAGGGGATGCTGGGAGATTTGTTTTCAGCCATGTGACCGTGTGTCCAGCTGAGTCAGGGCTGCAACGAGAGAAAACGAGTTGATGCTGTGGGCAGCCCCGCCGCCACAGGACGGGAGCGCTCTGGACTCAGCAGTGCTCGCCGACACCTCCCCTCCGCCCGGGTGTTTACACTCAGGTCCGCGACTGACGCGGTTCTGAAGGGCATCCTCAGCATTGCCCTCGTTAAGGCCGAGGTCGAGGAGCGCTGCCGTGACACCCAGCACTCACCAAGCTCCTGCCGCAGCCCGGCTGCCTCTCTGGTGTTGGCCTTATCTGGGGACGGACGGGTGGGCAGTAAGACGCTGTGGCGGCTCCGACGTTGCCGGGGTGCTGAGCAGCACGTTACCTCTGCTCGCTGGGTGCCAGGAACACCCCTACCCCGCCATGGCAACCACACGTCTCTGGGCATTATCAGATGTCTCCCGGGGTGGCCTTGTCCCCTCTGAAACCGCTGGTTCAGAAGGATATGGGGGGGAGGCGGTAACTGACCAGGGCAGGGCCAAAGGCCGGGGCGGCCAGGCAGCACGGGCCAGGCCGGGAACGTGGGGGAAGCGCTTCGACCCTGGCTGGAGCCCGCAGACTGTCTCTGGGCTCCCTGGGACGGCGTGCCTCCCCAGGCTGGCCGGGAGCCTTCCCAGGCTCCGTCGCGTTGCGGGTGGAGAGCGGGTTCTGTGTGTCGCAGCTGTTGGGATCCCCCCGTCTGCTGGGCGCCGTGGTGCAGTCTGGGTTAGCAGGGCAGGGCTGCCATCACGCCATCGCACCTGCTGCGCGCTCGCTCGGTCCGTCTGCGAGGGGTGCAGTAGGTCTCCCGCGGGGCTGTGGGGCCTCTGTCATCCTCAGTCTCTGTTCTGCGCACCCCAAGGCCGGGTTACTGGGCGTGTGCAGCCCTGCCTTCTCCCCAGATCCCTCGGGCATGACTGTTTGGGCAGAGTGTCGTCAGGCCTCTGAGCCAGATCGTGGGGCATGCAGGGACATCCGGGAAACCCTCCTCCAAGTTGGGCAGCTAGCGATGTCTCTGGCGCGTGGGCACCCTGGGTCAGCCTGGCCTGCGGGAGCCTGGGCTGTGAGCCAGCCGGGCCCAGAACCCTGCTGCCCTGCCACAGCTCCGCGGCTCGTTCTCGGGATAGACGTAGGGGTGACAGGGAGCCCGTCCCCTCCTCTGGGGCCACTCCTTATGCGCACGGGTGACCAGCAAAGGAGCCACCCCGTGGTGTGAGGAGGGTTCAGAGCCCACTGCTGGCCAGGGTTTGCTTTGAGCTGCCGACTCAGGGAGGGTCCACCCACCCACCCAGGAAGCAGCAGCAGGTGCCAGGTCAGCCTCACCTAGGTCCAGCCGCGTCTAGGCCCTAACCCGAGCCTCCTGGCCCCCAGGCTGCTCCTTCAGGCTGGCTACGACCCGGAGCTCCGGGATGGGGACGGCTGGACCCCACTGCATGCAGCTGCCCACTGGGGCGTGGAGGACGCCTGCCGCCTGCTGGCCGAGCACGGGGGAGGCATGGACTCGCTGACCCACGCGGTGAGGGCCGGCGTGGCGGGGTTGGGGAGGGCAGGCCCCACAGCTTGCTCACTGGCCCCTCTCCTCCCCGCAGGGGCAGCGTCCCTGTGACCTGGCAGATGAGGAGGTGCTGAGCCTGTTGGAGGAGCTGACCAGAAAGCAGGAGGCTGTGAGTCAGGAGTGAGGCCACCGTGTCCAGATCCCCTGACGCCCACTGCCGGAGAGGCCGGGGCCTGGGGCCCAGGCAGACGTAGGGCCGTGGGTGGGAAGCTGTGTGTGGGGCTGGCTGGGGTGCTGTGAGGCACCCCGAGGTGGGAGGGCACCGCTGTGGAATGCGGAGGTGGAGGCGCGATGCCTGCTGGGCGGCCCTGCCCTGGCGGCCCCTGCCCTGCTGTGCTGAGGGCCCAGAGGGGGAGCAGGCTGGCTGGGCAGTGCCAGGGCTTCTCAGGGAGGGCTCTGACTGCATGGGGATCCAGGCACCTCCTCTTCCACATGGTGCCACGCCCCCTGGAGGAAAGGCGGGGGCGCCGAGCACCCCGCGCGGGGGCCCTCAGTGCCTGGCCGCGGAGGAGGGGGTCCAGTCCAGGGGACCGGGAGCGACTGCGTGCTCTTCCCCACCGCAGCAGCTCCTTCTCTCCCTGCAGCTGCGGAACCAAAAGGACGCCTCCCCGAGCAGGGGCCAGGAGCCCCAGGCGCCCTCCAGCAGCAGACACCGGAGGTAGCAGGCCTGGCTGGGGGAGGGCTGGAGTCTGCCCCAGGCCCTGCCCAACACCCCGCTTTCCTGCCAGGAGCTCCGTGTGTCGCCTGAGCAGCCGCGAAAAGATCTCCCTCCAGGACCTGTCCAAAGAGCGCCGGCCTGGAGGGGCAGGGGGCCCCCCCATCCAGGATGAAGACGAGGGAGAGGATGGCCCTGCAGGTGAGGGGTCAGAGCCTGGACCTCAGGGTGGGCTGGGGCCTGGACCCCTAGAGTGAGGAGGCAGGCCGGGGTCTCAGAGCACCTGCAGGCTGTCACCGCCCTGCCCTGTTACCACTCTGCAGAGCCGCCCCCTGCAGAGCCCAGAACCCTCAATGGAGTGTCCTCCCCGCTGCCCTCCAGCCCCAAGAGCCCCGTGGTAAGTCAGGCCTGTGCCGGGACCCTGGAGGCTGGTCGGGGTGGGCTGCGGGAAAGCTGGGGCCCCTGCTAGGTTGGAGCCCCAGCGCCTCCTGCCCAGGCTGCGGGTTGAGCTGGGACTGAAGAACATCTCTGAGAGGGGCCCTTCCTCCGTGACCGAGGCCTTCTCACAGCTACCCGAAGAGGCCCCCTTCTCCAGGCGCTTCGGTCTCCAGAAGACAGGGAGCTCCGGTGCCCTGGGCCCCCCGGGACGGCGGGGGCCTGAGGCAGCTCCTGAGACAGGGCGGCAGCGCTCAGCCTCCTCCTCCAGGCTGGAAGGGACCCGCACTCAGGTGAGTGGGTGAGGCCCGGGCCCGCCCTGCCTGTCCCGGCCAGCACCCTCCCCTCTCCTCTCTCCACAGGCCCAGGCGCCTCGTCTTGCCAGGATTACCCCCATCCCCTCCCGGAAAGTGCCAGAGCCCCCTGACCAGTGAGTACAAGGCCCAGACCCCTTTGGGTGGGAGGCAGGTGTGGCTCTGGCTGGTCAGCATGAGCCTGCGCTGGTCCGCCTTCTCCCTGCTGGCCATAACGCTGGCGCTCACAGCAAAGCAGTCCCCGCGCCCCAAGGCTTGGTGCTACCCCCAGCTGCAGGGACCCGTCCTTCCGGCCTGCTTCCCTCCTGCCTCCCCTCAGGCCTGTTTAATGTTGCCTCCTCCATGAGGCCCACCAAGACCGCCCCTCCCGGGTGCACCCTCCCCCGCCAGCCCTGCCTCACTGCGTGGTGTGTCCTCCTGCTGGGCACACACACTCATCTTGGTGACGAGCCAGCACCTGGGCCTTACTGGTTTTAGGGTTTTGCCATAAGGCATGTATACTCACCAGACAGGGACAGAGAGACAGGGAAAATGAGAAATCACCCCCAGGGGCGGCTACGCCTGTTCCTTCGCCATTCTTCCTTTTGGGATTTTGGGCACACACCACACCGGTGTGGTTTTCAAGCTGCTGGGTCTGGGACTCCATGGCCCGCCCTGTGGGAGTCCAGGGCTTTAACCACCATGCCACCTGCTGGCCCCTCTAGTGCCTTGCCTCCTCTGCGAGGTTGGTGGGCGCCCTGGGGCCAGCCGTGTCCCCAGGGTGTGGTGCGGCTGCGTGGTTACTCTGCCTGGATTTTACAGCTCTGGGCTCATCCAGCCGCCGCTGCCTCCCTCCACTGTCCCGGAGCCTGAGTCGCCAGGGAAGCCGAACGTCCCTGCAACCTCCACGGCGCTCCCAGCAGACTCCCGGGACCGGCGGAGGTAAGAGGCCAGGCCGGAAGCCCCCGCTGCCCCAGCTGGGAGAAGGCCACATCACCTGGGGGTCCCAGGGCTCTGGGGCCGGCTCCTGAGGGCAGGCCTTCCCCGGGACTGCTGGCATCAAACTTGTCCCCAGAGGGTGTTGGCCATGGAAGGGGGACAGGGCCCCAGGGGACCGTCCCTGAGGTGGGGACCTCCACTCAGGTCCTACCAGATGCCCGTGCGCGACGAGGAGTCCGAATCCCAGCGGAAGGCTCGCTCGCGCCTCATGCGCCAATCTCGGAGGTCCACGCAGGTGCGGGGTGGGCCGCGGCCAGACCCGGGGCCTGCCCTGGGGTGTGGGGCTGCAGGGTGCCCCGGTCCCCTGACGGTGCCCTCTCCCTGCCAGGGTGTGACTCTGACAGACCTGAAGGAGGCGGAGAAGGCTGCGGGCAGGACCTCGGAGCCAGAGAAGCCAGCCCTGCAGAGCCCGGTGAGGGTGGGGTGCAGGGGTGGTGTGGGGAGGGACCGGCGTGGGGTGCGGCTGAATCCACAGGAGGGTGGCTGTTTCCAGGCCTTCCTGAGACGTCATGCACACCGAGCCGGGAACACTGGCTGGCTGTGACTAGGGTGGACTGCAGTGTAGACCCTGTGGGACGCGGTCTAGCTCTGGCTCAGGGAAGTCAGTAAGCAGGAGGGGGAAGCCGAGCAGGGGCGAGACCCGGGCGCTCTCCCTCCCTGTCTCCAGCCAGCACAGGACCCTTCCCTGAGGCCGAGAGTTCCTGGCGTGGAGGATGCTGAGGGCGCTGCCCCGAGAGGTGAGGCCTGAGGCCGGGTCGGCGGATCCCCCCATCTCCACGGTCTTCCAGCCTTCCTGGTGGTGTGGGCTGGGCCCCAGCACCAGGGAGTGGGGTCGCCTCCAGAGGTGTGGGGGCTGATGCCGTCCCCTCCCCAGCAGGGGCGCCCGACGGGCAGGGTCAGGGCCCACAGGCTGCCAGGGAGCACCGCAAGGTCGGCAAGGAGCGGAGGGGCCCTGCGGAGGTGAGGGCCGGTGGGACCATCCTGTGCGGGTGGACGGTGGACGGGACGGGTGTTGAGGGCTGCGGGCAGGCCACCAGTCACGCTCTTGCATCTGGTCGAACCTTGTCCCCGCAGGGGGAGGAGGCGGAGCCGGCGGATCGCAGCTCTGAATGCAGGTAGGGAGGCGGCGGGGATGGGTCAGGCGGCCTAGCCAGGGCAGCGGCCCTGACACTCGTCCCTCCACCCAGCGCCACGGACGGCAGCGCCTCGGCCCACCGGCAGCGCCAGCGGGA